AAAAATATGTTAAAAGTCAAAATTTCTTAATCATTCTAACGGTTTTATAAACCCTGAAGGGTAATACAAAAAAGGTATACTTAGTAGTTGAAAATGAACAGGATATTTATTTTTTTTTTTCAGAAAAATGAATGTAAAGCTTTTTGCTCATAAAAAACTACAGAAGTAAATTTAAAAGTATTAACATCAAAAAGTATGTATTCAGTATAATTTGACAACACAATTTTCAATTGGCACAAGATATCAAAAAAATTGAATTGTAAATACACGCAAAAAATTTTATAATTATTTATATACACGCAAAGAAATATTCTTGATGCCCATATACCATAATGTTATACCAAGTAAAACCTCTTCCATCAAGAAAACGTATATATTATTCTTGATTTAAGTAGCAGGGTGATTACGTTATAGTGTCATTAATTTTAACCACGTATTCGGAAGGCTTAATAAAGACAGAAAATCGAAAAAAAAATACTCCACCTACTAAAGCATAAGCAAATTACCAAATGTTGAAGCGAAAAAGCTGATTTCCCTAGTCGCCTTGAATTTTATAATTGGTTTCAAAACCAACAAAGTGCTATAGATCGATGAGTGCTGTTTTAGCCATGCCGACATTTTAAATAGGAAGATACCATACTACTCTTTGAAAACCATAAGTCACTAGGTATACGTACTACAAACTGAATAATTAATTGAATTGATTAACATCTCATATTCAATTATAAAACATTCGAAAACAATTATTATCCTTTATTAACAAATAAATAATACTTGTTAATATTTAAAATGTAAAAAAAATATCTTATTATATCACTATGTAATAAAAACACGGTAGAAATTAGGTTAGTGACCGAATAATGCGGTACACTCTTGATAAACCTTCATGGATCAGCGGTCAGCAGCGATCCAAAAACAGGTTTAAATAATGATTTGAAAATAATATTTTTTCCAATGTAAAAATGCATTTTAAATTTTTTTTATCGCGTATTTGTATTCGACAAATAATAAAAAAATATATTCAGCAAAATCATGACAAGTTTTGGTTTTCCTGAATTCTTAAAAATTTACATTTTTTTATTCTAGCAGTCAGTTAAGATTATCTTGTTGTTTAAAGATTGAGAAAAAAATACAGAAAGTTGCAATTGACAAATAAATAAATAAATAAAGTAGCTACATATTTGAATAAATAAATCAGAAAATGTTGAAAGTACCCGCTATTTTCTATGTAAAAGGCTATCGCCGAATAAATGATTCCATTATCTAAACTTTCCGTTTTCCTAAACTCCAATATCTTATAAAACAAGTTTTGACAGTTTCACAATTCGTGCCCATATACCTTGTCTTCAATGAGTCCCCAAAAAATGTTGTCTGGAAAACGGAATGTTAGTGAGAAAAACAATATGTAAACTACCTACCCTCCCTATTTTTGCAAGTTCAATTAACTTATCTCCCAGTTTTTTCTTTAAGTTTAAAGGGGAGCCATGTATATAGATAAACTATGAACTACCTACTTTACGTACAAAGACTTCGGTTAAAATTAGCCTTCTGCATGTATCACTGAATAAGTTATGAGTTATGTGCAGAATATCATGAGACACATTTTCAAATTCAGATCGCCATTAGCATAGCCATGCCTTGTTCAAACTTTGAAACTCAGTGAGACAGAATAAGAGGACTTGGTAACTTACCCCTACAATTATTATATTCCTAAACTTTGTTCTATTCTTCACCGCGATTGTTGGAGCCAGCGGGTGGTTTTTTGATATGTTTTGTGCGTTCTCCATTATGCTTCTGTAAAATTTGTTTCCAATGTTCGAACTGAATCGATAAAATGTCCCAACAAAGAAACCAAATGAATAGATTGGGAAAATATGGTTTCGGTATTACAGTAAGTTCTTTTATAGACTTAAAATTTAAATAGGCTGGTACAAGTCAGTATAGTTAATTTACATAAATATGGATCAAAAATGCTGCTCATATGCAGCGAATAAATAGAATAAATAAATAAATAAAATATGCAATATACACGGTGTTCTAGAAAAAGAAGCCACACAAAAAATAAGATCTACTAATAATGGACCTACATTTTTGTTTTTGATATATACAAAAATTTAATGTAGATGATTTTTGTTGTGTTAAAATGTAGTTTTTTTTATTTTTTGACCATCTGTTAGAGGTTAATAGCTAGGATATTTTCTTGTGACATATTATGACATAATTATTTTGAGGTATCTGTATCAAATTTTATCTCATTACATTGTTTTCTGGAAAAGGTGTAGTTAAAATTTAATTAGAAAAATTATATTTGACGCCCTTATTACAAAAATAAAAGACATAAAATTTAAAAAATTTAATTCTATATAAAAATCAGTAAAAGCAATTGTAACGATAGTCGGAAAGCAATAATGAAATCAAATCTGCTATTTAGATAATTTCTGTGACCTACAATTATAAAAATATAACAAATATCTTACAATTAGTATCAAAAATCTGTTTCTCAAATTGTGTGGGTATAGCATTTGAAAAGAAATTTTTGTAAATGTATAAAAGCCTTTTTGAATCATCTTTCACTTTAATCTTTGATATAGTGTAGGTATGTTTAAAGACATCAGGGAAATGTATTTAAATTAATAACAATCAATCACAATTATTTTATTTGCTACCACAATCATGATTCCATTCTAAAAAGTTGTAAATATTCTAGGGGCATGTGCTTCATTAGTTATACAGTGTACTGGCCATTGAGTGACCCACAGGACACTTCATAACCACCTTTCAATAATACCAAATCGCAGCTTATACCCAATTTGAATGCAACTAAAAAAACGAACAATACCGACAAAAAACTGCGGAAACTATATGAATATTATTTGTCCATACCCCCTAAACATCCGAATAAATATTTATCGACTGCCACTCGAAAAATACAAAACACATACAAATAGGATTAGGTCAAGTTACAATGTGGCCACATCGTGACGTAATTTACAATGGAATTATTAAACTAGGGGAGGGTTTCGCTCATATTCTGGGCCCTATGTCCCTACTGAGTATGGTCGTAGGTGAGTCCGCACCCCTCGACGCTTATCTGGTACGTCGATCTTCAGTTGTCTGCTGCAATGCCAACTGCGGATGTACGTTTTTAAACTTTATTAGGCCTTTGTCATGTTTTACTGTAGCTGAATTGTTCATTGTTCTCTGACTTTATTCAGGAGTTATGTAGTCTAGCGTATTGCTAGTAAAAGCTACTGCGACATGTATTTGTCCGTCTTTTTCTAACGCTTGACTATAAGCTGTGAAACATTTTTGTCTGGTTAACGAAATACGATTATATTTCAAAAAGGTATTTTGGACAGAGATGTTTCACGTTGTATACTCAATAAACTTTATTTTTCGGCAATATTGAGTTCCTCTATTACATTTTTAGTTAATGAAATTCAGGTTGTTGATTGATAGTTCCTGAAATTGACCAGAGACTAAATCGTAAGAAACTAAATATGTACCTGTTTTATAAAAAAGATATTTTACGGGTTATCTCTGAATTGCATGTACCACCTAGCCACTTACCTATACAGGGTGTCCAGGAAATAGTACGTAATATCTCGGATTACAAGAACATATAATTTTTTTTTCATTCGGGTCAACCCAATGGAGTTGCTCATTAATTGATAGGGAAAAGCCATGTTATTTGAAGCTATTAATGCTATTAATGCTAATTAATGCTGCTATTAATGTATTTAACTGAACGATAACTACTTTGAGGGGGTTTCAGGGGCAAAACGCCCTCAACAATCTTGACTCCCTCAAAAAATATATAGACTCCTTTTTCATTTTTATTTTTAAGACTTTATATTTTTTTAAGAGGAAAAGGTATACTTCTTTATTATCGACACTATAAACCTTTCTTAAGATAAACGCGTTTAATAATAAAGATGCTATTTGTCAAATGTGTGTAATAAATAAATGAAAACAACAAATGCGTTTATCCCGAAAACAGTTCATTGTGTCGATATCACTACACATAGTAGGTACATAAAAAAGTACGAAAATCTCAAGAATGTTGATAAAAACTAAAAAGTAGGTCTGTACATTTTTTTGAGAACTACCAAGGGCACCGCAAAACAACCTTTCTTCATATAGCGATTCATAAAACGATTTAAGATTTCTTATTTGATCTTTATTTCACCTTTATTTATTTGAGTTTATTATATTACGGACACATGAAAAAAATGATATGTATATAGGGCGTTATTTTTGACCACTCTACAAAATTATTAAAGTCTTACTAAAAAATTCCATTCTAATATTTGGAGGAGTGATTATATTCATAAAATAAGGAAAAAAGTAAAGTTTTTACAACACAACTTATTAGTAACCAGCAACTTCATCAGCAACTAATCAAGAAGAAGGCAAAGGTCTCACTCATCTTAGCCGTCTGGCTAATTATCTGATTCAAGGCAAAACATGGGGATTAAAGCCTAAAATTATGTAGAGGAGATAGAGATTACTGTAGTTAGACTCACTATGCGTCGTTGATATTGTAGACTAAGATGCAACAGTGGATTGCTACAGCTGGTACGGTGCGAAGATTGTTTGGTAGTATTGAGAACTAGAATAAGAATTACACCCGCAGTGGATATGGAAACCTTACTTAATTTGATACCTCTTCATTTTGATAATGGGAGAGGCTAGCTTAGGTTTTTTACATTTATGCAGACCTAGAATATAACAGAATAAATAATTTAATAGTATTATTTGTAGACTTCCTTGGCAATTGTCAATGAACAAAATCTGGGCTGGTTGCCACGTTGTTGGTTTAGACTCCTTAGAATTATGAAAAACTTATCGCTTGCTTTTTCAGAAGAAACTCTAATGTTAGAGAGTCCTCTGCTTGATATTTATATTTGTAGTCATCTCGATTCTTCTGGATTACTAACATATTGATTCCATTGGTATATATTTCCTCTTATACTAAAGTATTGACAATGTCTTGTTACTGGACTAGGTGCTGATGAGATTCAGAGCGCAGATCTCTTGTGTAAACGCTGTTCTTTAGGGTGTTGTTTGGTTTTTTCTTGAAAAGGTCATCTGGGAACGACAAAGTACCGTTTTCTTCCATCTTCACGGTGAAGCTTGTCCGGATGTATTCCACTGATGTGGTTAAGGAATGTTGTTATATCCATGGGGTTAGATAATAAATGTATTGTCAACATATCTGAACCAATACTTTATATTTAAAGTTGCTGACTACAGAGATTTCTTCTCTAAGGCTTCCATGTAGACTTTTGCCAAAGCTAATGACAAGGGTGAATCTGGCTGCTTCTTCAGTTGGTTCATAAAACTAGTCCCTAAAGGAGAAGTTCCGTCGAGTGCTTAGTTTAAACAAACCTATTTCATTTTCATCCCTGTCTTTTTGATGAAGTTCTTCCAAAGCATCCTTAGTTGGTATTTTCCTGAATACCGATGTTACGTCAATATTCACTAAAGAAGCTTTAACTGCAAATCTGACAGTAGAACAGATCCAACTGTTTTAAGATTTATTACATGATTTTAATACAATAATTTCAAACAACAAGCAAAATATCTTGAAGTAAGCAAATATATTGTTATATGAAATTCAAAGGTTGAGAATTGGACACATTTGCAGCACACATAGTTAACCAGTGAAAGCTACTAATCCACCATTTTGTGTTTCTTGCAATAGTCATTTAACATATTTTTTCAGAATAACTCAATATGTCGAGGCACATCATTAATCAGGCACACAAAAAAGTCCATACCCATAGATCTGACATATCATTTCCGACGTATTTTGATGAGCTGAAACAGATACTGTACCAAAATTAATGCACGACCAGTTAATCTCTTGTAAAATCTATATTTAGGGTAAAAACGGACCCAAAAATTGCTTAATCATAGTCCAAAATTTTATTCTGCTTTACATAATATCTGACATATACCGGCCAGTATCTTGTAAAATCTATATTTAGGGTGAAAAATGGATCTAAAAATCGCCCAATTTAACCAAAGAACGGGTTTTCGCTTTCCTTGGACTAACGAGATTATGGTTAATCTTTGTTTCTAGAGTATCTAACTCTTTTGTTTTCAAATGATCTGCGAAGAGGATGTCTTTTTCCTTTTTTTCGTCTTTAGTTTCCGATATATCCCCTTTATATATATTTAGACTTTTTGTGTGCCGTTAATGCCCTAGTTACTAGATATCTCCGCATCTGTCAAACTTTTTCTTTAAAAATTAATTTCTCAAATTTTGTAATTCTTAGATATAAGAAATATTTAATAAAGTGACCCTCAAATTTCACCTAGAATCCGAAAAGGCAATAATACATATAAGTATAGGGTGTCCCATTTAAAATAAGGAACTTCCGTTATAACCGAAAGCGTTATTATAGGAACAAAATTATTATATTTAAAAAGAGCACACCCGAAAATCCTACTGTGCCAATTTTCAAAATTGAAATCGAGATAGGTTCTGAAATAATCTAATAGGACATTCGTTGTCAGCCACCCCATATATATTTTTTTTATCATATAATTTCCTGTCCAAAAAATTAAAAGAACAAGAAATTTTCTTGTGTTTTTTGAAGAATTGTATCTTTGTGAAAAAAGAACATTACCTATGAAAGTTCCAAGGATCTTTTGACACAAAATTTTTATAAGCTCTGCTTATCGCGTAAATTTTTTGGTGGCAAGGGTCTACGGGCTGGAGTTTTTTTTTTTCATTTAAACTAATACTTACTAGACCAGGGTCGATAATTTTTGAAACCAAAAAAAATTATAGTAAGATGAAACCCATTGAAAAAGAAAGAGAATATAAGAGAAATGAAAGGAAATAATTTACGGGCGATGAGGTCGCGAAGGGGAAGGGGGCGAGTTTTTAAGAGTAAAAAACCGTTTCCCTTGAGTTCCGGAATAACTACAAGTTTTATGGAAAAAAGTTAAATGGCAAAGTTGTAAGTAATAAAAAGATCTACAACTTTTGTATTTACATTTTTTTCACATAACCTCAAAATTTATGTGAAAAATTCAAATAACCAAGTTTTTGGTTTTTTATTTTTCTTTTACATAAAAAAAAAAATTCACGAAATTTGGTGAAAACTTACCTATTTATGTCCCAAACACGCTGTAATTTTTTTTATTTGAAATATCTTTTTTTTACCTTATTTTTACTTAATATCCAAAAAGCAACCTAATTTTCAATCGAAAATTCTCATGTCACAATATCTGCTTTTTTAAAAACGTCGGTGGGCTTTTTCTTCGTTGAAATCTCTACTTTCTGGTGGTGTAAAATAAAATATACATTACTATGGTAAGTTTTCTCAGGAAATGCAAAGAAACGAAAAAAACTAGAATCCGAAAAATTTTTTTTTAATCATTATGTACAATTTTGAGCTGTTTATTAAAATTTACACTTTAATTACTCGATAAACGTAAGATTCCATGTTACATTGATAAACAAAAAAATTACAAGTCGAAATATACTATTATAATTAACAACCAAATAAGTTAATAAAGTTAATATTTAATAAGACATCTACAATAATTTGAATTTTCTGAGAAAATTTACCATAGTAATGTATATTTATTTTACACCATCAAAAAGTAGAGCTTTCAACGAAGAAAAAGTACACCGACGTTTTTAAAAAAACAGATATTTTGACGTGAGAATTTTCGATTGAAAATTAGGGTGCTCATTCGATATAAAGAAAAAATAAGGTGAAAAAATAAATATTTCAAATCAAAAAAATTACAGAGTGTTTGGGACATAAATAGGTAAGTTTTCACCAAATTCAAATTTCACCAGGAGTTTTATTTCATATTGTATTCTACATTTTATAGTACTTATATGGATTCGGACCGGAGCAGGTGCGAATGTAGTTATTTCTTGTGTGGATCTTTGAGCAGTGTTATCTTTTATTGTTGGCTGCGAAATATTTTATTTGTGGACTTTACTATTTTTTAAATGAAAGGAAAAAACATTAACAGAGTAAGTATTACAATTTGCTAGGCATAGTTGTATTTAGTACTAAATTCAAGTAAATAATAGGTATTAAAATAAATATATAGGTATTGTATCTGATTATTTGAAAATAAAAATTACATATAGTGCAGCGATTTGAAGAGACTAGTTATGGAACAGCCTGTATGTGCATTGCATTAATAGAATATCATATTAATTAAAATGGCTAAATATTAGGAGCCAAAGAGTGCGTTTTATATAATTATATTATTGGCATCAAAATGAGCACTACCTTCGCAATCGAGTTTTTTTGTGTGTGCCGGTGTTATTTATATGACACTAAAATGTAAAATAAATTATGACCAACATAAAAAAAAAAACATAAAACACACCCCAGAAATGAGACAACCCCCAAATCCAAAAGCCAAAGGCTTGTGAGGAAGGGGGCTACACTTGAAAAAACGCGGACATTCTCAATGTATGTTTGTAATGTATTATATTGTTAAACAGACGCAGAATACAAATTAAAATAAATAAATATTATGATCTACCAGATAAATACTATTATTTTATAAAGGAGGAGCATCAGGTATTAAAAATTAAATAAAAAAAGCAGTTGTTTCATTGGCTGACCTTCAGTAAAACTCATGCAATTTGAAATAAATAATCTCGACAGGCCGACTGTGTTATCCACGCCTCGCAAATACTAAATAAAATTTGGGCGTACCTCGATTGTAACCATCCATTAGAAACTATTCCCCGAAGAGATATAATTGTAGTAATGTAATGTTAAACGTGTCTACAAAAGGGGTGACGCTTCACATACGGGGTCGCGTGCAACGATACCAATTTATCACCTACGATACACTATTAGTCTGGAAGCATATGTCGAAATGTCGAACCGAAATTTAATTTATTGCACATACTCGATCTAACGCAGCTCCGTCTCGCTCTCGCCCTCTAAGCTTTCATTCAGAAAAGAGACAGGTAAACGTGATGTATGGAAATCCGTCGTGAATAAATTAAAAATTATTTAAATGTGTTGATCGTTCTATTCGTCGTTCACGCTTGGTGGAGTCGAGGCTACCATTTAGAGGGCATTGTAGCTGTTTAAGTACTTCTATTTATTTAAATTAGTGATAGGCAGGGGTGAATAAATTGAATATCAATATCAGTCGAATAAAAATTGTATTCGGTGGTGCCGACGGAACTATATTTCGATATTAGGCAGCTCTTATTTTTCACAAATATTTGTTTTGCATATTTCTAGAAAAGAAGAAATTCAGAGGAGACTAAAAGAAGAAAATACAATGGTTTTTGGTTGAAATTATCAAATCACTATTCCTTAAAAGAAAATAAAAATACGTATTATTATTACTTTGCTTTCAGCTGGTACATTTCGAAATTAATGTACCTACCACTCTGTACTAAGCTGGCACCGCGTTGCCGACAAATCTTGTCTTCTGAGATTGCAGTTTCAATGTTCTTTAATGTTGTAAGTTCAATTTTAAAATGAAATCCATGTATCTTCCTACAGATCGCAAAGTTATTGTCAATATCAATTTTTTTTTGTGACGCGTGTTAGTTTTTGCGTTTTACAGTTTCACCACTTTTTAAAGAACGATAAACATTTCTGGCAGGCACTTTTGTCAAAAAAGGCATATTTCCGCGTCATCACTCATCGACATATGCGCATTTCGTGCTCGAATTCCCTTATACACGATGTTTATCATACAAAGTTCTTGATCTTAAATTTTTAATAGGTTGATCAATATTAACACTTAAATATGATTCCAGTTTTAGAAACACTCTGGAATAAATAAAATGTGAAAATGATAAGTTTGTCAATTGCACGCCTATAACATGAAAGGAAACGCTTAAGCTGGAAACTGAATCCGAGAATATTGAGTGATATTATGCAGCGCTAGTCGTATCTCTTTTTGTATACGATAAGCAAGGCAAGGACAGAAATGGGCGCTTGTAACAATAAAATTATTTTACGAAATTGAACATCGTGGTTTTATTTATTTATTAAACTTACTGGTAGATTGATTTCAGTAAAATATATATGTAAATACTCTATTTTTAAATATTTTTTTGTGCTGCCGCACTAGAAAATGTTTGTTGCCGATCACTTTTTA